CAATATGGCGCATATTGCAATCCACTCTCGCCAAAAGTGTCATAAATCTTCTTCTTCTTCGGGTTGTTAAGGACTTTATATGCCGAGTTGATGATGTTAAATTTGTCTTGAGCGTCCGGGTCAGTTGACTTGTCAGGGTGATACCGAAGTGCAAGTCTCTTATACGCTTTAGAGATTTGTTCCTGTGTTGCGTCGCGTTCAATTCCAAGGACTCTATAATAATCAGAAACATCTTGAAAATTTGGTTCATCATAATGTGGTTGCCCATTTTCTTTGTCTAAATTAATTTGTGGGGAAGGAATAACGGCCAACGAAGTTGGAACTGGGGTATTCGAGGCGACCTCTGTCTCGGAAATTGTTGGTTTTGACGAGTCCAATTCAGTTTGTAAATTTGAAGTGTTTTGCTGTGGAATTTGTTGCGTTGGTTCGTTACTTGGACTTTTTAAAGGCGGAGAGACAGAGTCACTCATTTTAATGTTAGAATAAAGTTCTTTAATAGAAAAATGGTTTTTTTAAGGAAAAAAGCCAAAAAGAAAACTGTTGTATTAATTAACATATTTAACATAATTAACAAAAAAATATAATAACGAGTGATATTATGATGATATTTTTTGTCTATAAAGGTAAAATACAGTAAAATGAACTTGTTAATTATTTAACTTTTTATTATTTTAACTACGTTATTGAATTTATTATAAAAGGGTTTGAAAAAAAAGAAAAAAAAATTGTAAAATAATAAAAGAGGGATTCAATTTATTATTTTGTTATGTTATTTTTATTATGTTTTAATAATTAATTCGTATTGCAAAAAAAGTTAAATATCAATTTAACTAAATATATCATCAAATTGTTTTTTTTATAAATTATAATTTGAGTGACTTATAAAAAATAAATATTACCAATTAATGGTTTATTTATTATACTATTTTTTAAAAAAGATATAATTTAAATATAATTTAAATATAATAAAATTATAGATAATCATGTTAGTATGCAGAGGTTTCCAAAATAATTATTGCCGAAAATGTGGTATTATAACGTACGAATTTATAAGAGAAAATGAACATTTTGGTTATAAAATGGTGACGTGGGTAATTAACATTGTGATTTTGGAAACCACTGTTAGTATGGTAAAATGTTTGTTGTGTGTAATAATATAAAATAGTCGAATTATGAGAATAAAAAATGATACAAAAACGAAGTTTTTGAAATCCAGAAAATAGAAACTTAATATCAATAGTTAATAAAATAACAAGCAATTATTGTTTATAATTAAAACTCGAAAAGAATAAGTATGACACTTGACTTGAGCAAGGTGAATGGACATTTTGATTTGAAATTGTTGCGGGAGCATTTTATGAAAGGTGGTCTTGTGAGTGAAAATACATTATCCACTCTCATTGAAAGTGCGAAAATAATTTTCAAGACTGAAAAGAACGTGATCAATGTCAATAAAAACACATCAGTCTTTGGCGATATCCATGGCCAGTATTTTGATCTTTTATCTGAACTCGATGAGGTGTTTGTCAATTATTATAACGTTAGTTTACATTAGTTAATATCTTAAATGAAAAAGTTTTACATATCACATCGATATATCATTTTATTTAATAATTTATTTAATTAAAATAGAAAGTCGAAAGTTAAAAACAAAACTAAAATTATAATACCATTAATAATACAAACTACACATTTTTAATACACAAAACAATAACACATAAATCATTTTCATTTTTATATGTGTCATTCAACATCTCGTTATAAAATTTTCACAACATTTTAATTTACAATTTAGTTCACAAGATGCATTAATAGAGAATCACATCTTTTTGGGTGATTATGTTGATAGAGGGGAATATTCATGTGAAGTTTTGATCACTTTGCTTTGTCTGAAAATGAATAACCCAAACAGTGTTATTATGTTGCGAGGTAATCATGAGAGTGATATGATGTGTTCATCTTATGGTTTTAAGAGTGAGTGTATTTGGAAATATGGTGATGCAATTTACAATCAATTTCTTTTACTGTTC